TGATTTTCACTATCCACCAACCGCGATCAAACATCGTCGCGTTGTTTAATAGGCTTTTGCTGTTATCTCACGGTGAAGTAGTTTACTCAGGACTTCAGGCGGATTGTCAGGCTTACTTCGCCGGGATTGGATACGACTGTCCACCTGGATTTAACCTGGCTGATTTCTTGATCGACCTTACTATGACAGCTTCGAGAGCAAGTCGCACTAACGGCCATTCATACCATGACATTCCGTTACCATCTCTCACAGCCAGTTCGAATACTCCAAGGACATCGGAAGAAAATGACGAAGATGGCGAATTGATACCTTTATCTACGAGGGAAGAGGCTGATGTCGAACACCCCTTGCAACAGAACGGGGATGCTGGGGCTGAATCCAGCGAAGCCACATCAACGACTGACGAAGTTGCTGAAACGCTCGACCTTGCGGAGATTGTGAGAGAGTATAAGAAATCCGATGTTTCGCACGCAATTATTGCAGAAATTGTGCAGAGTTTACATGCATCGAGCGAAAATACGGATGAAATTCCGTCATTTTTGTATGATTCGCAAAAGATTGGAATTTTGGAGCAATTTGCTATTCTTTCTGGAAGAACGTTCAAGAATTTGTATCGGAATCCAATGCTACTTCTAACGCACTATGGTATTGCTCTTGTGCTGTCAGGTATGTAGAGATCCAAAATAATTGTATTGATTAGAAGCTAACATGTTTTAGTTCTGGTTGGTTACTTGTATTACGACATTGTGAATGACATCTCCGGATTCCAGAATCGTCTTGGATTGTTTTTCTTTTTGTTGACATTATTTGGCTTCAGTACTTTGACAACGCTTCACATTTTTGCATCAGAGCGGCAAATTTTTGTACGCGAGCGTGCAAATGGATTTTACGTTCCTATTTCCTACTTTGCGTCCAAAGTTGTTTTTGACATTATTCCATTGCGTGTTTTTCCTCCACTGATTTTAGGATTGATCATATACCCTTTAGTAGGATTGAACTTTGAATCGAATGGGATGATGAAGTTCTTGTTAGTACTGATTCTATTCAATCTTGCTTCAGCTGCAATCTGCCTTTTCATTGGTGTCTTAATAAAAGACAGTGGAGTTGCTAGTTTGGTTGGGATTTTGGTAATGCTGTTCAGTTTGTTGTTTGCTGGACTGTTTTTGAACAAAGACTCTATTCCCGTCAGCGCGCTATGGATTCAAAATCTTTCCATTTTTCATTATGCATTTGAAGCAATGCTGGTGAATGAAGTTCGCTATCTCACATTGATTGAGTACAAATTTGGCCTCTCAATTGAAGTGCCAGGTGCTACTATTCTGAGCACGTTTGGCTTTGATACTACTGCATTCAAGCGGGATGTGTGTGGATTGATTGCCTTTTTCGCAATTTTTATTGTGCTTGCCTACGCAGGCATGCATTTCTACTTGGTAGAGAAGCGGTAGATTGTAGAGGTCAAATGACGATTATTGAGCTAGTATGAGTCGTCTTTTATTCAGACTGCTGTAGAAAGTGCTTGCTCGTGTTTGTCAATTATAGATTCATTGTTTCGGTGTTATTTGTCTACTTGTCTGAGTATTGGAAAAGATTGAGAGGGAAGTATAACTGTATTCTAGCGCTTTTTTAATGTACATAATCTATTGCTTAGGTTACATTCACTTCATTCATTAGATTGTACAGTAGACATTAAATAAGAAATAAAAATCAACCATCTGGGCCCTAACCCTTGAAGTTATGTGAACGTATACTTAACAGATTACTCTCAGCTGAAGCCAGTCATCTACCGTACAGCAAATCAGACCAAGATTTTTTTACTTTCTTAGAGGTTCAGATTTAAAAATGTCACGACATCATCCAGACTTGATTATGTGCCGTAAGATGGCTGGTATTAGTGTTGGTCGTCTATGCGAGAAGTGCGATGGCAAATGTCCAGTTTGCGATAGCTATGGTAAGTTGATCTCTATTATTTCTTTTGCCTTTTTGCTAGTATACTATTAAGTGGATGATGCTAATTTTTTAAATTCGTTTAGTTCGTCCAACAACATTAGTAAGAATATGTGATGAGTGCTCGTTCGGAAATTTTGCTGGCAAATGTATCATCTGCTCTGGTGTTGGAATTTCGGACGCTTTCTATTGCTTCGAGTGTACTCGATTAGAAAACGACCGAGAAGGGTGCCCAAAAATTATAAATGTTGGTTCAAGTAGAAGCGATTTGTGGTATGAAAAACGCAAGTTTAAACAATCTGGACAATGATACAAAGAACTTGAATCTGTGGGCGCCATGTATGATATGTTGGAAGGACGTTAAAACGAAGGCATTTGATTATTGATTGGTTGGAACATAGTATATCTACGGCGTTACTGCTTCGAAAGATTGGCTTAATGAAATAGTTACTCAATCCGGTGTTTCTCATCCAGTGTGTATCCACACAAGATCATTTCATTTCACCCTTCTTGCCAATAGCTTTTGGTGTGTGTCTTGTCAAATGCGTTTATACCGTCGAAAATTTGCAGAATCATTTAATGTTAGTCAAGAGGTTTGCGCCAGAAATCATCAGTGCTGCTGTAAAGTGGCCTCAAATTCTCACTTGCTAGCAGACAGATGATAAATGTCAAGACCCGTAAATGAAACAGCTCTCAGAAGAAGAGTAGTAAAAGTAGTGGGGTTATAATCAACTATACCAGTGGAATATTGCCTTCAAAAGCCTGCAGGCTCATGGCCGATCAGCAGTGTACGTCCTGACAGAGTGGAAATGAGCTGCTGTCTTGGACTTGGACGCGCTGAACAGTAACAAGACAAAATAGATAAAACACAGAGAGTGCTCAGGATATTTTTTTTTCATTTTTCAGTATTTGACTATCGTGCATAGGAAGGGGATGATTTGTAAGAGTAGATTAAAGATCAAAGACTTCATTGTTGTTGCCATGCTACAAAGAACGTATGAGGGGGATTACACTTGACAAGATAAGCCCGGACATATCAATAGACAAGATGAGCCTGGACATATCAATATCAGAGACAACGGCAACGACCAACCTAACAAATGAGAAGAGAGTGTGATATTTATTTACCGCATTGAGGGATAGCTCTTCAAGCTAGATATTCATTCGCTGCCGTTATTTAGCGAAGGATGTTCTGACAAAACTTCGAGCAAGGATTATCTAAGCAACATCTAGAAGTCCAAAGTCGCATCAGTTGACACAAGATAGGCAACACACAAGGACACAATTCTTTAGACGCAACGACTTTGATCTTGTTCCTGATTACGTGCCTTACATGTTGGGATAAAGGCGTTGCTACCTCCTGCCACGGGTACAAGGGATAAATAAACAACAATAATAATCATTGAACAAGGCATAATAAAAGGACAAGGCATAATAAAAGGACCGTAGCTGTCCTTTTGCTGTAAAAGCTATAAATATGCCTACCGATTCAATAATTATTTTTATTATTTTCATCTTTCGCATGACTTGTTGATTTTTATCAATCCGACATCGCTTGCTCTATTTTATCCGCATATTCATCTCAATTTCTTTCGGTCGATTTGAAACAATGCTAAGGTCTGCTAAGCATTAGCATGTATATATACATCCGGAGCAAAGTTTACAGAGTAAAATTATCAGTATCAGCCAAAACGCAATCCAGTTTTCTTCCAGAATTTATGATGAAAGATGAGGATGAGGCGAAGGATGAGGACATCCTGCCTGCCTTGAGTCTAATGCGCACATCGAGCACGTCAAGTTCGTCAAGTTCCTTAAGCACTTCACCGGACACAACCATGAAAGTGCCTGTATCAGTCACAATATCTGAAGACCGGGTCTATCTTGATAGCTGGAAGATGGTAACAATGCGACAGATGCGATATCCAGACAGTATCGGCTCAAATATTAAATATGAGTCTGCTCGTCCATATGTTGTTTCTTATGATCCAGGTATAGCTATGCGTACTTTGTACGGTGTTGCCTCTGGAAATGGGATAAACTGTCATTGGCTTTATACTCAAGCTTTTCAGCGTTCGCACGCCGATGCTATTCAAATTGATCAATATATTGAAATCACCAGGTTAGCCCGCATCTATAGAGTCGATCTAAGCCAAATTGACTGGGTCGGTGCGCATAAAAAACTAGCTGTCGCACGACAGGCTCCGCCCGTTCAACTTTCCGAGGCATTTTTCTCTCATGTGGGTCTTCAAGAGCTTCAAAATCAGGGCAAACTTGTGTCATCCATGGAGGTCTTGGTAGCACCAATCATCTTTGCCGTGACTTTCAAGAGCGGTTGCCCGCCTCCTAAAATCGAAGTCAATGGGCTATTCATGTTGGCTTCTGCTTTGAGAGACTATTTTATATTTTACACCAGCATGCCACAGCGGAAGCACAGTTGCATGGCAGCGATGCTTGCTATGCTGCTATGGCGGTATGTATTTAGTGAAGAGCTCAAAAAAGTGTTTGATGGTATTGCTGAGGACGCAAAAAAAATCTATGAGATCATTTCAGCAGAGTAGTTATATTTTCTTTTTTTTTTTTTTTTTTTTTTTTTTTTGATTGTTTAGAGGCAGTACCTGCAATTGGCTATATTGAGAGACTGTATTATTTGTTGTTGACTGGCTTCAAACCAGCTTATATTAGAGAAAGCAGCCCACAGAATTAAAACTTTTGCAACTTTAATAAAATAAAGCATTACGTCCGCCCTTGTAGATTTTGTAGTTAAACAGATTCCCCATTCGGGATAACACTCTGATTTTTGCTCCTATCTACAATCTCTTTTAGCATAATAACTAGTGAAATTTCACATGATTGCGTCCAAACTTTCTCCGGCACCCATTTCCTCATTAGCACAGCATTACAAGCTTCAACATGTCGGCATTTTGCACTTTTATTCCAACATCAGTGATCAGGCTATCAAAATTCGCTTTCGAAAATCGAAATCAATTTAAATGAGGGTTCGGGTTGTACTACAGTACCACATATTGGATTAGAAAACTAATTTTGTTATTGTTAGTGCTTGAATGGCACAATGGCAGCGCGTAGGATTGCAGATCCCGAGGTTCCTGGTTCGAATCCGGGTTCAAGCTAAACAATATTTTTTTAAGATATTTTTTTCTTGATTTTAAGTCCTGCTAGATTTCCCTTTTTTTTTATTGGTGCGGTTTTCGTAGTTTTTGTAGTTCTTAGCAAAGCAGTGTTAATAATGGCGCCTGGTTCATATGTACCGTTCTGTTAGCGACCGAGTACATGGAAAAAAAGTTTCGTTAATTAACCATGTATTCGTCCAGCAAATTTTAATTTATTAACAGCAATCATCTTGAGAAAACCAGTTCGATTGGCACACACAATCGTGAACAAGATTCCTGGAACCGAGCAAGGAAACTTCGAAGTGACGCGAGCGGCTCAACGCGTCGCGACAAGGAGCGACTCGACAAGATTAGACGCGTTAAATAAAGTTTCACCAGGCGAGGCCGCACTGGGCAGCAGCAGTTCTCTGTTACGTCAAAAGAGCTACTTTATCCAGAGCGGCTGTTGGTATTCAACTCTGACCTTAGCCCAGCTAGTTTCTTATCCTAAAGGAACAAATGAGAGTCGAAAGTGAGGAGATTGGCGATGTACCACTGTTGGTCGTGGAAGATGGTACACTGTCTGTTCTTGATGCCGACCGTACAATATCGCAGGAAGATCCACTAAATGATAATCTGCGAATTCAACGAAACAAAAACATATATGGAGATGAGGAAGGGTATGAGCCATCAAAAATTCGTGCTTTATTGGGACAAATATGGGATAGCTTTTCAAGGCCGCCAAATGAGAGACGGTATATTCAGCGATTAGATGGATTTATATTGGTGTATGCACTGCTAAGTTATGGATTGAAGAGCTTGGATGTGAGCAACGTCAGTAATGCTTTTGTCAGTGGTATGCAAGAGGATGTAAGTGAATTTTCCGTAAGTTAAATGAGTTGTGCTGACTGGGATATAGCTTGACTTGCATGGACAAGAGCGAAATTTATTCAATACATTCTTCAACGTTGGATATTTGATAGGCTCGACGCCGTCGCAAATCATAATCAACCGGATCCGCCCCTCGTTGTGGATTCCCGCATGCGAACTGATTTGGAGTACACTGGTAGTATTTATTGCAACTGCACAGAACGCAAGGACAATATATATAATTAGATTCTTTTTGGGACTGTTTGAGAGCTCATCATATCCAGGGTTTGCATACATATTAGGAAGCTGGTACGGGCCCGATGAGCTAGCGAAGCGAATGGGTGTGTACGACTGCGCAGGATATATCGCCAAAGTGTTTGCGGGTTACGTTCAAGCTGCAGTTTACTATTTTCTCAATGGTGTAGGAGGAGTGGCCGGCTGGCGATGGATGTTTATTATTGATGGGCTAATTGGAATGCCAATTGCGCTGTGGGGATTCTACTCCATACCAGATTTTCCAAACAACACGCGCGCCCGGTGGCTATCTGAGCATGATCGTGAGATTGGGATGCTACGGGCGAAGCTGCAAGGCAAAGTAGAGCCGAGAAAGTTGACGGTTCAGAGGTTTGTTACGATGTTTTTCAGATCGTGGCGACCGTGGCCATTTTTGGTATCGTACACAATGCTGTGGATTTCTGGTACTTCGTCATATTTCAATCTATGGCTGAAGAGTCTAGGAGTGTATAGCGTTGAGCAGCTGAACATCATTCCAACCTACGGATACGCGCTTGGGTTTGTGTCTGGGTTTGTATTCGCAAACTTATCTGATCGCACAAGGGCACGCTGGCCGTGGCTGTTTCTGGCGACGCTGTTTCGGTTCGTGGGCTCGCTACTGCTTGCGATCTGGAACCTGCCGACAGGGGTGCTGTTCTTTGCAAACATGTGTAGCTACGCGGGCGAGCCGGTATGGTCGCTACTGATTACATGGGCATCAGAGGAGTTTAAGGATGATGCAGAGCTACGCGGACTGCTGTGCGCGGTGGGTAACACTATTGGCGCTGGCTTCTCGCTGTGGCTGCCGCTGCTGCTGTTTCCGACGTACGAGGCACCGCATTACAAGGTGGGATATATAGCGACTACCGTGTTTGATGTGGTTGACTTTGGCGCACTGCTGTGCTTTCTGTGGTTTGCGCGGCGGGAGCAGAAGCGTGCGGTGACTGCGTATGCGAAGATAGAGGGAGTGGGTGAGGATATCGAGATGTGGGAGCAGTTCGAACACGGCGATGACAAATCATGTACTGATTATTCTGTAAGATAAGGTCAGTGCACAATGCATTGTGACTAAGTAGTTTAGTCACCCAAGTGTGAGAGCGCAGCTAGATTGAGTGGTTAATTACGGACAACGAGGCGGATAAAGTTGATATAGGCGATTTGACAGGAGAGGCATCATAACTACTCAGATGATGCTGATTCAAATCTGATGCCGAGCATTACGGTTGACAAAGGACAAAAAAGAGCAAAAAAGAGCAAGGAGCTTTACAGTCAACACACTGAATAAAGTTAGAACACATTCTGATATACGAGCTCATTTTTAGGCTCGTCACCGTCTGCTATTTTCTTTCCTATCTTCCTTCTTTTCTGTAAACTGCTAAATAGACTTTCTGCCGGCTACTATCTATTGAATTACTTAGCTGGTGGACCGCCGGAGTGACCCGCCGTGCGGCTTTATCGGAGCCAGAAAGCTCGACTCACCGTGCGGCCGGCCAGACGAGTACCTTCAGATCTGCAGCCCAATTATCTTATAAAATGCTGGCGATACCCCTCCCGTCTGCTTTCTATTTACCCTTTTTCTTGTTGAGATTTTGCTTCTGCCATCAAGATGTCTGCCATAGATATAGAGTCCCAGTCGGACCTCGACCTCGCGGCCATGGACCGTCGCAGCTTACACAACGTCGACCAGGCCCATCTTGCGGCACTCTCGCGTACCGTCTCGACCCGCACGGCTACCAAGTTTGAAATAGGTCTCTCAAATGAGAATTTTCAGCTCGAGACCATCTTGCGCCGCCAGCTCCGCGCGGGCGAGTCTTCAGGCATTATTGGCCACGCCTTCGGTGTCTCTTTCAGAGGCCTCACCTTCCGCGGTGTCGACATGGCCACCACCAGCCTCTTCACTCTTGGCGGGCTTTTCGCAATGCCCTTCCGCATTCGTGAGAGTATCCGAAACATGCGTGCTAAAAGCTACCTGCACGTTGCCAAGTCTACTGTTCGTGAGGCATTACGATTTGCGGCTTTACTTCGTCAGCCTCGGACTGCTTCTATCAGGAAAAATACGAATACGTCGAGTCTGTGATTGAAATGCTCGGTATGGAGGCTTACGCAGAAGCTATCGGTGGTAGCCCATGTAGTGGACGGAACGTTAAGCAGCGCAAGAAATTGACAGTTGGCGCTGAGCTTGCTTCGAGGCCGTCATTGCTTCTCTTTCTTGACGAGCCCACCTCGGGTCTTGGCTCGCAATCGGCCTGAGCCGTTGTGCAGTTGCTCCGTAAGCTTGCCAACGCGGGTCAGTCTATTCTGTGCACGATCCATCAGCCTTCTGCCACGCTTTTTGAACAGTTTGATAAGCTGCTTTTATTGAAGAAAGGAGGCCAGACGGTCTACTTTGGAGAGATTGGCAACAACTCACGCATGTTTGGCGTCAGTCGTCGAATTTCATTAATTTGACACGAATTGATGAGTTGCATGCCGAACTTAGCGTGCTGCCTTCCAAAGACGTCGGTCGCGATCTCACTGACCGATACGCGGCTTCGTGGTTCACGCAAGCGCACGCCGTTTGTATTCGTACTTACCAAATCTACTGGCGGTCTCCTAGTTATATTATGGCAAAATTCATGCTGTTTACTGTTGGTACCTTATTTATTGGATTCTCATTTTGGAAGTCGTAATTTTCGATACAGGGCGTGCAGAATTTAATTTTCTCAATCCTTTTACCAAAGGTGTTAGGTGTGCCGCTGGTAGACCAGATGCAGCCTCGCGCAATTAAAATCAGAGAACTTTTTGAAGTTTGCGAAGCTGCTTCGAATACATATCACTGGAGTGTGTTGCAATTGGCGCAATTGCTTGCAGAATTGCCCTATAACATCTCGTTCGCAACGGTTATGTACTGTATCACATACTTTATGATCAATTACGATCGAGCCACTACACGCGCAGGATACTTTTGGTTCTCCTACTGTTTTTTGTATTCTACCTTCTGGACAATTTTCGGGTTGGCAATCACGCCCTTTGTACCGGACGCTGCAACAGCTAATATTGCTACTTCGTTTTTTTATTCTATGATTATGAACTTTTCTGGCATTTTTCAGCCGGTTTCTTTATTTCCTCATTTCTAGAAGTTCATGTGCCGCATTTCTCGTAAGTTAGCTAGATTTTATATCTTATTATCAATTTGGTATACTAACTCATCGGCGCAGCATTCACGTACTTCTTGCAATCTCTACTTGGTGACATTCTGCATGACCGCAGAGTAACATGCAAGGAAACGGAGTTCAACATTTTCAGTCCTCCAGATGGATTGACTTGCTATTAGTATGCTGGTGACTTTGCCGATAGTGCGGAGGGATACAATAACAATCCGAATGCGACGGCCGATTGTCAGTATTGCAAGTTGGACTGTCGGAGATCAATACTTGAGTACTGTTGGTGTCAGTTACGGACAGCGATGGCGAAATGTAGGACTAGAGTGCGCGTTTATATTGTTTAATACTGCGTTTCTGTTGATTGGGTTTTACGTCTTTAGAGAGGCCAAGTGAAACCTGCCAAAATTTGGCGGTAAGAAGGGAGAGCAGGCTTCTGAGATGAAAGTTGAGAAAGTTGATGGCGTGGGGAAGAAGAAGTTTAGAGGCTGTAAAATATGCGTGTGGCGCTGAATATATATGTATAAATGTGGTGAAGAATAATGAACTCTCAGTCTCAGTCTCAGTCTCTTTGAAGTCGCTCTCATACAATTGTAGATATGAACGTGCAAATCACGTGTAGATAGAGAATAGACTTATTCGTGACATGCAAGGAGTAGATGCTCTCGGCTCAACTATCGCCGCTGCCGCTGTTGGGGTCAATCAGGGCAAGGGCTTTGTGTATTTATGTATGGGCGG